ACGAATGAATCTGCACCAATTTAAAATCAACCATGTTCATGACTCATACTTCATCTTTATAAACTTTAAAATTATGTACTCTGCAGTTATGAAAACCTGTGAACAGCAATTTGAAACTGAAATATTTGCTGAAAGTGATTTCAAGACTTTAAATTCTTTTAGTTGTCAGTCATTCAGACACAAGAAGTGATACAACTCATTTGGGAAACAAGACTGTGATTTCTTCAAATGAACTTCATGCACTGAGTGGTCTTTTTATATAGGAAAGGAACATTAGACCTTCTCATCCATCACTTCCAATGGGGCTGGTAGTTAAATGCTACAATTCATACCCTAAACAATGTAGATTCTTGATCAAACTTGCCAAGACCTATTCCTGCAACTTAAAAATGTTCCCTTGATTCTCCTTAGAAATTTAAACAACACTTGGCATATTTAAATATATTTCCTTCTGCCTATTGACCTTATAATTCTCCTTATCAAGATAATAGGATTTCCTTAGAAGTTGCCTTGGGCATTTCTGCAAGGTCAAAAGCACACAATGCACAGACAGGGATAAATCCACTTTGAATTACTGCATCCATTCATGCTCCAGTGGTTCTGCAACCCTAATGGCAACAAATGAAGTCTGGTGTGTTGGGAGTACAGCACTCTGAAAGCACAGAAAGGTATGGTCAGAAAGGGCCCTGACAGCCTGTTAAACATCTACCACCCTGTCTGAGCATCCCCACCACTAACACAGACCAAACAGCAGTCACAGAGCAATGGGGGAAGTCGACAGATTCACATTATTGCAACCACAAATTCACACCTGCCAAGAGACACCCCAATCACTGCACTGGGTTGGTGTTTTGATGGAATGAACAGCACATGCAAGGGAAGAATCTCTCCCCTTTGCCAGGAGGTTCTGAAGAACTGAAACCATTTGTTTCTTATCTGAAGTTATTTATGGTAGATTTTGGAAGCTCCATTTGGTCTAAAAATAAGTTCTGCTTGATGAGGACTACTTACTATTGCAAAAATGTACCTGAGAACCACCAGTAGACAAGGTTCTGTGCCTTAAATAATTCCTGTCATTTAAAGCCAGTTTCTAGTCCTTTTCTTTTGTTGAAATTATAGCCTTATTTATTTTATAGCATTAAATCAAAAGGCATACACACTCTGGAAGGGCAGCTAACCTCAGGGCAGTTTACAGCTCAACCTCTGTCTCTGGGTAGCCAAGCTGAAAATCAGCAGCTATCATGGAAGCATAATGTAAAGCTGGAATACTGCTGTGAATTATGAAGCATATAAAGTGTTTGGATAAATCAAAAGAATCTAAATGGGCTTAAAACAGCAAAGAATAAAAGCATTAGGGCTTGTCTTCTTTTCCAAAATCTTCCTTAACTACCTTCACAGAGACCTGTTTTCTACCTCTCAGACACTGATTCAAAATTCCATTTAAGAAGATGAAGAACATGATCCTGCCATCTCCTCAAAGATTTAACTTTATGGTGGAAAGATTTTATTGTTGTTATTTGCCATTAAAGGTAATAATTCTGCTGTAGTTTTCTTTTGCTTGCATTCGTGCTATTTTATTAATGTCTCCATAGTAGCAGTTAGCACTGTTAAAGGAATTACAATTTTTAACGTGATTATTAGTCTTCATTTTCATCCTCAAAGCTGGGATATTTTCGAAGGAGCTCAGGGAGGAGGAAGGAATAAGACTCAGACATTGCAGTCCATTGTTACCTCTGAGCACATACACTTAGATTGCTTTTCTTTGATGCTGCTGCCAATTTTATTCACAAGCATATAAAAAAAAGGTCATGACATTTAGAATTGCACTACTTTGGAAATTAAATGTTCCTTTAAATTTTTAATTTCTGAAAGTAATTTATCATGGAATAATATTTGAATATGATTGAATGAATGTGTAAAGATTAATGCAAACTTTCTTCAAACTGGAAGTTCACAACCACATATGTTTAACCTTCTTGTGTAATAGGCATAAAAATGTTGATATGTGAGCTTGAAGAGCTGCATTTCCATTTTGCTGGAAGCACTTGCACTGTTATTCTCCTTAGTATTTTTCCACTGGTATGTCTGTATAAGGCATGAGGTTTACCTCTCTATAATTTTCTACTTAACATTACACTTCACAAGCCTGGCAACTAAATAAGGAGCAAAAATGAATCCCCATGGTCTGCAGAGCTTTTTCACATGAATTTTAATGTGAGAAATCAAACTACTGATTTTTAGGCTAATTCAGCAATATTAATGATATTATTGTAGCATATGAGGAAATAAAATAATTTTGTGTGAACACTAGAGAAAACACTAAGATACTACATAACCAACATTCTAGTCATTGCCAACCCAGAGATTTGGCAATCTGAGGAAGAGGAGATCACTGAAATGCTGTCCTGGCCAGGTTTTGGGAGTCTTTTGTCAAGGAATGGACTTGCCCATCTCACACCCAGCTTCATCAGATGGTTTAGGCTGCACCTTTCAGATCACTGAATCCAGCTGTGAGCTCAGGACTGCTGTGTCACCTTAGCCACTGGTCGGGGCTTATTTCTCCAAAGCCAACTGACACTCCTTGTTCAGAAGAAAAAGGAAACTTACAAAAGGCAGCAGTGCACTCTGGAATTTTTTTTTGTGGTCAGCAACTAGAGTTCATAATTTTCTCATACACTATGGAAAGCTGGCTGGGCCCCAGGCTGCAAAGGGCAGACACACACAATTCCAAACCCTGTTCAGATGCTGCTAAAATTGCACCCCAATAAAATTTATGCTGGTGTGTAGAATTTACTCATGTTTTCTCATGGAAACTCCTGGGAGCACTTCTCACTTAGAAGACTGACAAACTTTGAAATATTCAGTTGGAGACTCCATTGCACTCAGTGGTCAACTGAAGAGACAATGTCTGAAGAAAAGAGACTGAGGAAGATAAAGGAAGTCTTTAACTGAAATGTTACTGGCACATTTAAAGATCCAGGAGAAAAGCAAGTTATAAAGCATCTTTGTTATTGATTATTTGGTTCTCAATTCCCAATCCTTTTGCGGACATTTCAGTTAATAATAATAATAATAGTAATAATAATAATAATATCCTTGTCACCAGGGCTAGGGCAGGAAGATTGCTAATTCAAGTCTGGCCTCTTGAAAAAGCCCTCAGGAAAGTTGCTCTGCAGATCACACAATTCATTAAATTAATGCTTTGTTGGCTGGAGTTAAAGTTTGAGTCAGGCAAAACAAAAGCCTGGGTTTTAGAATACATATACCCTGTCAAATTGCATTTATCAAGATAAGGGTTATTAGAATCTTTTTTCTCTTGTGTGAATGAAATTGTAAGCTTGAAATGTCACTGAAGATTTATTAATCTGATACTCTTTCTGATAAGGGCAAAGAAATAGAAAGGGCAGACAAAAAGAAATATTTCTTGTAGCCTGATAAGGACTACAAGAAATGGAAAATATGAATAAGGCAATTTATCAGTGGGCATTCTGTAACCAAAAGATTCAAGCCACACAAAGCAATAGTACAGTTATATATTGATTTCAGAACACTGCCATCTACAACACTTGGTCAAAGTTTGAGAGCTGTGCAGAAAAATGTCTGCAATTTTCAAAAAATGGTATTAAACTTGAATTTTCAAACTGGAGTAACACTTGTTCTAGAAAGTATATGGAGGCCTAATGTGAAAACTGGTGCAGTGCTAGAGTATAAAGTATGTACAGGGAGAACCTCCAGAAGGATCACCCGTGTTTTCAGCTGAGATGACAGGGCCTGAACTAACCAGAAATGTTGTTTAAACATTTTATCTCTGTTTCTGTGCCTGCTACCTGTAGAACATGTCCACAGTGGGGAGGAAAAAGAGTGAAGAGAGGTTCAGAAATATTTTGGGTCCAACAGACCACTGTTAAAGTTTCTTGTTTGTTATACTCAATGTGATGCACAAGACAAACACATTTCACTACCCAACATGACAGAGCAAACCCTGCCTGATCACCACTTTGGCTTTGTGAGCTCCCAATACAGGCAGGAGCCCAGCAGCAGTCAGTGAGTTACACTTTCTACAATCCTGAGAGGGGGGACAGCAGGACTCAAAACCAGGCCTAAACCCAGGCTCATGCTCATTGTGCCAGCTCACCAGAACATCTGCACTAGTACCAAGAAACCACAGCCAGGGGAAATCAACTTTTTCCTTCCAAAGGGCTTTCCTTATAGCAGGGAGGAAACTCTTAGACAGAACCTGGCTGTGACACTTCCCCTCCTGCTGCTGGACTTCTGATTTCAGTCGGTCTCTTCTGATTCCCTTTGGATGAGGTCACTCTGAGACAGGTGGTGCTTGCTTCCTTGGAAAAGACCTGGGGGAATGAATGAGCTCACCAGGCTTTCAGAGCTGCAGAGAGAACTCATCAGAGAGCTGGCAGGGAAAAAGGCCATTTGTGCTGAGACTCCAACCTTCAGTTTGACACAGCATCGTTTGCAATGACTTCGTTATTGAAACAGATTTATACATGAACACAGACACATCTGTCTGTGCCCATAGTCAATATATATTTGCCTTCTAATGCTAATATTAATAACTGTGGAGATGAAAATGATAATTTAGATCACATGTAATACATGTGTGATTTTAAATGACTTTTTAGTTAACAGTCTACTGATTTTTTTAACTCACAAAATAATGAACCATCAAGCAGTATATTTTCTTTTCTGCTTTCTTTTACAATTCTTCAATATTTTTATTTGAAATATTTTTATTTAAAATTGAGATTCATTAGCCAGAATTTAGTTTTCCTATGAGACTCTCTCAAGTAGAAGCTAGTTTTGCAGCAATTAAGGTGTTTGAAAGCACTAACTGTTTAGAAAATGCTTCGTTGCACCTTACCTCTTTCTCAGAAACCCTTATATAGAAACTACACCAGTTAAGAAAAGTCTTTCTTACATTTTTCCAAAAACATACCAGGAGCCAATTTATCTGCCATGATTTAATTAACATCTCAACTTACCAGTCTTCTCCATCTTGTGTTTTAAACTTTCAGGTCCTGGCAGGCAAGGGCAGGGCCCTTCACATCGAGCAGTGATGGTTTTGCCAGAAGTACATGCATGGAACTCCATCTTGCACTAGAAGCATAAAAAAGCAAGAATACTAATTAGGACAAGATATAAAATAGCAGCTGTGGATTAAATGAGAAATTGTCTTATCAGTAATGGCATTGGATAGATTGGAAAACTTCAGTCTCTACTGCAAATATTTTTATAACTGACTATTCCTAGCCTTTGTTGCTTGCATTGCTTACATCTTAGTTCTGACTTTCCTCCAAGAGCTTTGTGCCTGTGTAGTTGTCCTCTCTTCAGTGACTGCCCCATGGGTATTTCTCCATTCTGTGCCCAGCAGCACTGCTGGCTGGACACTGGACTAATGCAGTAATAAAATGAAGTAAAAGAAAACAGGACACCAGAAACACAAATGTTCTCTTTGGCTTGATATCTAATGAACCAAATTCAGTTCCATTTTTTGTTTTCTTCAAGCTTTTATGAGACCAGAATTCAAGGGCTTTTGATACACAGGGGAGTGTTGCCTGTGGTGCCCAGGCTGGACCTCCTTCCTGCAGGGACTGCCCCCTGCCAAGGAAAATGGGAATGCTGGGTTGCAAAATCCCTTTGATCCGAGTTTTATTGAAGATTAATTCTATGATTCTTTTAAAAGTAGGCCACCATATTTACACAGTGGGACACAATGTGTTTTGACACAGCTGAAGGACACAGAGCCTGAGACCAATGTATGACCATGGAGGATTGCAGTGGGCAACTGGAGCTCACTGGGCACCAGCCACTGCTGAAACCCACGGCATCATCCTCTGTAATTCTGGTACAGTAGAAGCCAAGAGAACAGAGCAGGATGTTGTTACAAGATAAACACCTCCTGCAAATATCTCGGCTTTGCCTGTGTTTGTTTTTGTTAAAAGAGCTCATTGTTGCCCAAGCTTTAATCTAGCAGCAGGAGACCATTATGCTGTCCCATTCTGTTGACACTGTCCCCCCACCATCCTCAACTTCAATGCATAGGATGCTTCTATGCTCTCTTGTGATGTCCTGCCCTTCTCATTTATAAAATGCACGGCCACACACAAACTTGCAAGTGTGCAAGCTTAATCTGCATTTTTCACCAACTTATCACAAGACTGAAGGGAATATATGTACTTATTTTTCCACTGTTTGTTCCATAAATACACTTTGCACAGAGTACAAAGACAAGAGAGAGCACATCAGAAGGAAAGCAGAACAGGAGAAAGGACAACACCAAGTGCAGTCCTGAAGGCAATGACTTTCTGCAACATATTTGGATAGTCAATGTGTTGTTGAGAACAGACGTAAATCTTCTTCCTGCAGCTGGAGTTGATAATTTAATCCCTTACAGAACATCAACTACTTACATATTTTATTATGATAATAAATGTAAATTATGTATCTAAGCATTAGCAATTATACTTCAAATACCAACCTTTAAGATGGCCCCAGCCTATTTCAAGCCCGTTATTACGTGCAGCTAAGAAAGGAAGAACTTTACACTTAGAAACATCAAGGCAAGTTTCTCCTCAGTTTTCCATATGATTGATAAAACTGACAACCAAAAAGCTTAACATAAACCAAAAAAAAAGAAACTGCTTAAACATGTTGTATTATCTGAGGGCAAGAAGAGCCCAGCTTGAAGATCACAATGCTGCAGTCACATGTGAGTAAGTTTACACCCATGATTAACCATATCATATTCCCACCATGCTTGTTTGGGATGTTTGGTGTTGGCGGATGAAGATTCAAGAACTTCTTCATTTAAAATATTAAATTAGTATAATAAGAATTACTTTTCAACACCTAATCACTGTATGTAACTCTTTATTCCTTCCCTAAAGGAAAACATGGAGGTATCTTTGCATATGATGGTGTGCTTACCCACTGTAATAACCTACACGAGTAGCTCAACTTTGGATTTAATGACTTTGCCTAAGCCTCACTAAGCGATATTCAGAGGCAGAGTGGCCACAGAGGATATCGTGTAGAGCAATAATGACTTTTTGGATTATTCTGCCACTGGATCTACAGCCTTTAAGGAGCCTGCTGGCTTTCTCCAGACCATGGACTATAAAATGATATGCAGTATTTGGAAAAACTCTCAGTCTTTCACACCAGAGGGACATTATACATTTTGCAGACATGAGTCACAAAGCTCCTTGCAGTGATAGTGCACAGGACTCAGTGGGAGCAGCCCCACAGTTTGGGGCCGGTCCCTCTCATTTCAGGGGACTCATTTTGCCAGTGATATGATTGGATATGCCTCAACTCTGCTGAGCTACTCTAGCAGAGCTCTCTGGGTCGTGCAAGCTTTATATTTTTCTGCAGCCTCCCTGGTGTGTGAACTGCATTTGTTTACTCTGAACCCCAAGGCCCACATAAACATCTTTAAGCTATTTTACTGCAAATGGAAAAGCAGCTCTGTTATTTGTTGCTAAATGTATATGGAGATCAATAAAGTATATGAGGGGAGAAATGGTTGAACATATTCATGGAAAATTCATAAATTAATTTATTCAACTAAGATGTGGGAAATTACTGCGGAGTGTGTTTTGGTTAAAGTGTTCCCCTGAGAATCCACTACTCGTATAATGATTCCCTCTTTATTGTCAGTGAATCTACAGCAATGTGTTTTGCATAAGCATTCACATTTGAGGGAGAAAGAAAATAGCTACATAAAATTTATTCCTAGCTATTTTATTCTTGTCTGTTAGTCTACAGCCTCCAGTCCCTGCCAGAGGAGAATCTAGAATTTTTTAATGATACAATAAAACAGTGTATCTCTTCCTTTATTCTGGCTTTCAACTTCTGGCAGCCAGGTTTTGATCTAGCCTGTAAGTAATCCAGTCAAATAAGTTACTATGATCTTTCTTAAAAAGGGGTATATTTGAACACTGAATGTTTTCATGGATATCTTGGTACAGCCCAGTGCATTAATGTCATGAAGAGCTTTGCATCCTGACACAAGAAAATCATGGATTTGCTTAAAATGCAGCCAGGTACAGCAGCATATCCAAGTCCTGGCAGCACCTTTCAGTGGCAAAACAGTGTAATTGAGGTGTAATTGCAAATGTCCTGGGGGGTCTGGGACATCCTGTGTGCCCAGCATTGCTCCTTGTCCATCGGGCACAGAGAGGACAGACAGAGCACTCACAGTACCCTGGGCAATCTCACAGCCTCCACAACAAATTCCAGGGAAGGGGGTGAGGATTCTTTTACCCAGGGATTCCTCAGGGGAGGCTCTCTGAGAACCCCTTTGATTTTAGTGCATCAAATCATAGAGTATCCTGAACTGGAAGGAACTCACAAGGATCATCAAAGATCGGCTCCTGATTGATTCATGAGCCAAAAATCTGTAACTGAAAATTTCTTGTTGTCACAGGAGAAAGTGTTAGGTTCCAAACTTCTGTTGCTTCTATCATTAATTTAATGTGAATTAAACAGGAGGGTATATAGGAATTAGAAGACAATATACATGACAAAGATAAACATGAAGTCTCGTTTGAGAAAGAGTGAACACTGAAACAGGAGGTTAAATTTTATAGTATACTAATTAAGCATTAAGCTCCTGAGATATTACATCATATTAATGGCAGTGAATCTAAACCTGCTGTTGAACAGTGTTCTTGCCTGGAAGACACTGCATTTTCAGCACCCTATGGCTTTTTACATTTTCACCAAGAATGATTTCAGTGCAGTGTTTGCTTTATGGTGCACTTTTTGTTCACTCACAATATGTCACTTCGAAACTACACGTACAAATAACAAAAGCTCATTATTTTCTACCTTATCTTTTACCCAGTGGCAGTCACAGGCAGAAGCAAAAATTTCCTAAAATTATATATAGCATGTATATATTTTTAGTCCAGAGTTTCTTGGTATCAGTAGTGTTTCCTACCTATCTGTCTTAGCAGATAATTAGAATCCATTGGAATTCAGACACCCCTTTGAGAGGGGTTGTTTGTTTACAAGCTTTACAGCAGTCCTTGCCATTGCTTCCTTAGCTGGGACTCTTATCACTATTTTCTTTATAAGCCTCTGCTTCCAGTTTTCATCAGATGGAAAAAAAATACAGTATTTGGAACACACTCAGATCAAGTGTGAGTTTTTTTAAAAACTTGTCACAATGAAAAAAGGTTCAGTATCTTTTCTACAAATCCCAAAAGAAATGTCAGATGGTGCACTCCCATTGCATCCTGTTGAACACAAACATTAAATTTTAATGGGAATTCTCCAGACTTTTCAGGCTCTGTAAAACCTGAAATCCTGAAATAAGGATTGAGAGACAGCAGTCAACCACATGAATTCGTGTTCATTAAAAAGCCAGACACTAATGTGAAGTCTTGAGGTGAGTCTCAGACTCTGGGCTGAGGACAGGGCTGTGTGGTCCCTTAGCACTTCCCCTCCCTGCCGTGGGTTCTGCTGCCTTTCTGCTGCTCTGCAAACCAGAGCTCCCCTGTCCTGGGTGCTGGAAGGGGAAGGGCTGCCCTGGGACACAGCGCCGCAGGGTGGGCACTGAAAATATGGGCCAAGCTCTGTCCCCAGGACTGACCATTTGGGCAGGCTTTCTGGTAGCATTAATGGCTATTCCATGGCCACATCAACACTGTTGGTAGCTGCTGCAGTCATCTCATTTCTCTGGGCACCCTTCTGCTCACAGAGTAAAGCTCCCCACTGCCAGACCTCCTGCACATGCACTGCTCCAAGATGGGACTGGCTCGTGCTACTGCAAAAAAAATAAAAGGGAGGCTGGGGAAAAAAAAACAACAAACCATAACCCACCATTTTTTCCCTGTTAAAATAGCTACCAGGTGAGCACACAGCACTTAATCTTTGCAATAAAAGCTGTACAAAGATATGTTAAAATCCTGGAGCTCTAATTAGGAGCTATGTTCTGCTTACGAGAATATGAGAATACATAGTTGGTGTTGATATTAATGGGAATTATGCATGCGTACCAGTGGTGGAATAAACTCTAATTAACACAACCAGTCTATTGTGTAAATACATATTAAAGCCTTTTTAAAATGTGTGCTAAAGTCTAGCTTTGA